TCGAGCTCCGCCCGCCCGCACGGCCCGGCCCGGCCGCCCTTACCGGCTCCGGCGGCGCAGGGCGGTGGCTCTGCGGAGCAATGCGTGGCTCCGCCCCGCCCGCCTCCAGCGCCCCCTGCCGGCCGCGCCGCTCCCCGCAGAGCGGAGGCACCGCCGGGGGACACCGGGCGGGAACGGCGGGCGGGGCGGGGCGGGCACAGCGCGTACCTGGGCGGGGCACGGGGGGAGGGAGGGGACGAACCGGGCTGGGCGGGGCGCGAGGAGTTACGGGCGGCGCTACCTGGGCGCTGCAATTCACCCTCCGCACTGCAGGGGGCGCGCTAACCTCGTGCGGCCGGGGCCGCTCCGGCCGCCAGTGCACGTGGGGGCGCGGGGCGGTGGGTCGGTCTGCTCCGCTCCGGTCCGAGCGCCGCTCCCGGGCGCCGCGATGTTCGAGGAGGAGGAGTGGAACGAGGGCGCGGACGGCCTCGCGCTGCCACGGGCCGTGCCGGAGCTTCGCGGTGATGCCAAAGGCTCTCAGCCGCCGGTAAGGGGAGAGGGGCTCGAGGGGGCGAACCGGGCCGGCCCCCGCCGTGGCAGTGACGCCGCTCTGCTCCCTGCAGGTCTCCGCCGCGGCGGAGCGGAAGCGGCGGCAGCGACTCGTAGCCACCCTGCGGAGGCTGCAGGCGGCGGGCGCGGCTCCGGAGTGGAGCGGCGAAGCGGCTCCAAAGCGGCCCGGGAAACGCGCGAGGACCGCGAAGGACCGAACCGCGGCGGAGGCGGCCGCGGAGGGGCGGCGACCCCAGAACGGGGTCGGCGCCGCAGGGAACGGGGCTGAGCTGCCCCCGGGTGTCCCGGAGCCGCCCCGGCGGAACGCTGAGCCCGCGGTGGGGGATTCGGCGGCAGCGGCGCCGCGGCTCACCCGAAAGCAGTGGCGGAACAAACAGAAGAACAAACGGCGGCAGGAGAAGTTGAAAGCGGAGAAGAACGCGGGCGGAGGTGGCGGTACCGGACAGGCGGCACCGGAACCCGCTGACCCGGCCGCGGCACCCACCGGGCGGTCGGCGGCGCTGCGGGCGCGCATGGAGGAGCGGCTGCTGGCGGCGCGGTTCCGGTACATCAACGAGCGGCTCTACACCAGCAGCAGCCGCGACGCCGTTCAGCTCTTCCAGAGCGACCCCGAGGCGTTCCAGATCTACCACCGCGGCTTTGCGCAGCAGGTGGGGCGCTGGCCACAGAACCCCGTGGATCACATCATCCAGCGGCTGCGGCAGCGGTGAGCAGAGCCATAGGATGGTTGGGTTGGAAGGGAGCTCAAGGATCACGAAGCTCCAACCCCCCACCAATGCAGGGCCACCAACCTCCCCATCTCACAGCAGCCCAGGCTGCCCAGGGCCCCATCCAACCTGGCCTCCAACACCTCCAGGGATGGACGGGGCATCACAGCCTCTCTGGGCAGCTGTTCCAGCCCCTCACCACTCTCTCTCTAAACAACTTCCCCCTGACATCCAACCTCCAGCTGCCCTCCTTCAACTTCCAACCATTTCCCCTTGTCCTGCTGTTATCTCTCCTTTCCAATAGTTGAGTCCCCTCCTGTTTGTAGGCTCCCCTTAGGTTCTGGAAGGCTGCAATGAGGTCACCCTGCAGCTTCTCTTCTCCAAGCCGAGCAAGCCCAGATCCCTCAACCTTTCTTCATAGGAGACCTGCTTTAGCCCTCTGATCATCTGTGTGACCTCCTATGGACCCTCTACAACAGCTCCCCCTGTCTTTCTTGTACCGAGGGTCCCAGCCCTGGATGCAGCACTGCAGATGGGGAGAGCATAGAGGAGTGGAGCTGGGGGCACAAAGGTGGGTGCAGCGTTACCAGCTCTGTGCCCCTGCAGGTCAGCCTCGCTGGTCGTGGCAGATTTTGGATGCGGGGACTGCAAGATTGCCAGCAGTGTCCGGAATAAGGTGCACTGCTTCGACCTGGTGCCGCTCAGCCCGCTTGTCACCGTCTGCGACATGGCTGAGGTAAGGGGCTGTGCTGCGACTGGTGCACCAAGGAGCCAGGTGTGTTCCTTGGAGGGCAGGCGGGCTGTGTGTGGTCAGAGAGGAGCTGCAGAGCTGTAAGTGTGGGCTGCGCTGTGGTTGTACTCATAGTGACAGACTGCATCCTTGTGGTGCCTGGTGACATGGCAAGGGACGATGGACAAAACTGTAACTGGGAGTTCCATGTGAACATGAGAAAGAACTTACTGACAGCGAGGGTGCCAGAGCCCAGGCACAAGCTGCACAGAAGAAAAACCTTTGGAGATACTCAAATCCACTGGCATGCTTTCCTGTGCAGCTTGCTCTAGAGAACTTTCCTATTTTATTTCCTATTATTCCTATTAAGCTCCATTGTTGGGGGTTAAAGTAGGGAGATTGCCAGGGGTCCCTTCCAACCCCTGCTTTCTTGGGATTCTGTAATTCCTGGAGGTCCACAGGGTGGCTGTGTGCTTGAGGCTGCCTGTCAGGTAGCAGGGTATGGGATGGGCATCACGTGGGGAGCACAAGAGGATGGTTGAGAGCACCTGCTGGAAGTCGATGGGAATTCCATGCTTGTATGTTCTGAACATGGGGTGCTGCTATTTGGGGCTCCCTCTCTGAGAAGGTGCTCAGCTGAATCTGAGTCAAGGGAATGCCAAGGGTGGGGACAGGCCCCATTCACTCTGTTGGTGCTTTGCAGGTGCCGCTGGCAGATGAGTCAGTGGACATTGCAGTTTTCTGCTTGGCGCTGATGGGCACCAACCTGCAGGAGATCCTAGAGGAAGCCAACCGCGTGCTGAAGCAGGGGTAGGCAGAGCTGTGTGCCGGGCAGCAAGGGAGCCCTGGGCAGTGCCTGCTCTGGCACCCCTCAATGCTGTGCTGTCCCTGCAGCGGTACCCTGATGGTGGCCGAGGTTGCCAGCCGCTTTGAGGACCTCCGAGCCTTCATGAATGGAATGGCTCAGCTGGGCTTCAGGAGCGTCAGCAAGGTGGGTCTTTCAGGGTCCCTGGAGTGCACGGTCTGGAGTGCGATGCCCGGGCAAGCGACCGTGTAGGGAAGGCAGAGTGGGCGGGGAATAGGAGGCTGGGACGGGGTAGGGAGGCAGCCACGGGTCGTGAGTGCGGGGCTGGGAGGTGCGGGGCACGCTGGGATGCGGGCCTGGGGAAGCCGCATTTTAGGGTTTGGGGAGCGCAGATGCTACAGGGGAGAGCTGGGGATGCGGGGCTGGGATGGGACGGGGAGGAGCCGGGGTCGGGGTGGGAGAACGCAGGGGCCGCGGAGCTGAGGGCGGCGGGGTGCGGCGCCGGGCCGACTGGCGCTGACCCCGCGGCCCGCAGGACCTGTCCAGCGCCTTCTTCTACCTCCTGGAGTTCACCAAGGCGGGGCCGCCGCGACGCCGGCCCTGCGCGGGACTGCGGCTGCTGCCCTGCCTGTACAAACGGCGCTGAGCGGCGGAACTTCCGGTACGGCCTCGGCGAGGGGCGGGGCTGAGGGCGGAACTTCCTGGGCAGCCTCGGCACGGGGCGGGACTTCCGGCAGTCGGCGAGAAAGGAAACTTCCGGCACGGCGTCGGCGAGGGGTGGAGTTTCCGGCTCGTTTGTGCGACCGGAGCCGACGGGGGACCCTCCGGCACGGCCTGCGCCGAGCGGCGCTGAGGAGCGGGCGGGGCTCCTGGGCGCGAACGGAGGCGGGGCCTCCCGCGGGCGGGGCGCGGCGCCGGGCGCCGTCGGTGCGCACGCGCGGTTCTCAATAAATGGCCGTTTCCGTACAGTCGGACCGCCTCGCTGGCGCGCATGGGTGGGGCGGGCGGGGTCGCGCCTGCGCAGTGAGGGCGGGCCTGTTCGGCGGCAGGCAGCGCCGCGATGTCGGGGCCGGGGCCGGGGCCAGGCCCCGGCGGGGGGAAGCTCGATATCAACCGGGCCGGGGTGGCCGAGCTGGAAGGAGCGCTCAGCGGCATCGGGCGGCGCCGCGCCCGCGGCATCGTGCGGAAGAGAGAGGTGCGGCTCCGGGCGGGGGCTGCGGGAAAGGAGGGGTCGCGACGGGACCGGTCCGCCGCCTTCGACCTCGGGGCGGGCGGAGGAACCGCAGGGTTCGGGACGGGCCTCGCGCTGCCCTCCCCGTCCTCCGGCTCCGCTCTTCCCTTCGGCGCGGAGCGGCCCCGGCCCGCCCGGCTCCGTGTCGGGGCTGAGCCTGAGCGGCGGCTCGGGGAACGCGGGAAGCGCCGTCACGGTGCGCTGGGGGGCCGGTGCTGCCTGGGCCGGGCCGTCGCCGGGCGATGACGGAGCGGGGTAGGAGCGGTGTCTGCGTGCGGCGATCCGTCCCGACGTGGCTGAGCCGCCTCCGTGACAGCGCAGAGGAAGGGACGTGTGCGTGCGGGACGCGGCAGGAAGGTGAACGGCGTTTGTAGCTGAAAGCGCCCGCGGGGTCGCGGCCGGAACGCGGCATCCCTGCCGGGAGCCTCCGAACAGCGAGGTGGGAGGAACCGGGCGGAGGAAGGCTGGGCTGGTAGGAGGAGGCTGGAGGAGCTTGGCTTTTTTTGGCCTGGAACTGAGGAGCTGAGAATGCAGGGTCAGCGGCTATAAATACAGCAGGGGTGTAAACAGTGTGGGGGTGGAAGAGAAGCAGCCCTTGAAACAAAAGAGCTGCGGGTATGGGAATAGGGGAAGGCGGATTCATAGGAATGAGGGCTGTCGTTTGAACGGCGCTTTGGGATAACGCTGTTTGTTGGGGATAAGGGGGAAAGGTGTCGTGAGAACACGCAGCAAGGCTGGGAGCTTTGCTTTGCCCTGGCGACTGTGTTAGCTGCTGCCATCCTGCTCCCATCCCGGGTGCTTTGAGAGCCTTCTGCTTTGTGGCAGAAACAGCGTGGAGGCTGTGAAGGGTGCGATGGTGGGCAGCAGGAAGCTGGGCAGGACTTGGGTGGGGGTTGTGCTGGGCACCGTGAGCGTACAGCGGGAGGTCAGGGATGTTTCCAGCTGTTGGAGTTTGGCCGTGTGGGCCAGCAAACGCACTTTGGTGTTGGCATCAGTGCTGGAGGACGTCATTCCCCATCCTGAGCTGCTGCCGTTTGCTTTTGGGCCACCTGCTAGAAAAAGCACCAGCCGAGGTAAACTA